GCGGCAGCTGGCGGCAGCCCTGGTCCTTGGAGACAAGATCTCCTCTCTCGCCAAGACTGCGTACCCCCCAATGCTGTTCAAAAGGCATATGCCCATAGCTCATGGATCCCCCTCGTCCGTGACTGGGGTGGCAACAACTTGGCTGTCGATCTGGCTCCTGGTCCTGGTGGCCAGTGGGGTCAAATCATTCTGTTTGGTCGTGACTACGATACTAAGTACGTTGTCGCGCGCTCTTGGGCTGCGTTCCTGGCTGTTGTCGCGGATGATCTCAACAGTGGCAAGTGGTATGTGGATGAGGAAACCAACGAATTGAAGCTGCGAGAGTTCAAAGAGACAAGAGTTGAGCCATCGTACTTCAGCATCCTCAGGTGGAGAATGGATCAGAAATACGGAAGAAGGGCAGCTTCAAACCGAAGGTCAATGGGACCCAAGCCTAATTCTCCTCTTGGCTCGCGTTCTTCTTCACCTTATGGTAGTGGTGGTGAGAATGGCGAGCCCCGGGGCCGATCTATGCAACGACTCAGTGGATCATCTCCTTTGGCCAGCCCCCGACCAGGCCCAGGATACGGAAAGGCGACACCTTTGAGTAAAGTCACAGAGGAGACAACAATCCCAGAGCTCGCCGACGCATATATCCAGCCTGAGAAGCTTGTAGAGGTCGAAAGTCCCCGGCAAAGCCAGGACACCAAAACCCCTAAAGTGACAACCAGCATTCCCCGAGTGGAATCCGACCTCCTCAAGGTGGAAGAAGAACCATCTCCCAAGGCGAACGGCAAGAAGCCCGAGGTGGTAGACGAATCGATGAAGACGATCGAGATTTAAGCACCAAAGAATTGGCAGTGTATTTTGCAATAGACGAAAGCACGGGGACTGGCATAGGGACAATGATTGCATGAGACTCGTTATTTTTTACCAACTTCTGGCCAGGGCTTCATGCGGAGCGACGCACCGGGAGGGTACACACAGATTTGGCGTTAAAGGCGTCGTGAGAAATACGCAAGATTCCATGATCCTTTCTATGAGAGGCGAACTTTTTTTTTATTTTCTTCCTGTACTCCTCGGCTAGAACATTTCTAGGAGGAACGCAGAAACAGCATACAAGCCTTAGTATACTATGATAGCTTTGTTTATTACTCAAGGACGAGATGTGGATAGGTGATCGTTGGGGATAGTCAGAGTTGTGGTTATACTGCAGCTCGATGCCTCTCATAGTCATAGGATGGGTAGTAATCATTGTATGAATAAGAATTCACGTTTCCATTTGCTTTGAAGATGACGAATTTTGTCAACTGTGGTCAAAGATGTTTCATCAATATGACAGGCAATGTTAGGATAAATCATTTGGGCCATATGGTTCAAATTGTTAACTATAGCCAAACTTTAAATTTTAAAAGTGTCGTGGCTGATTGCTGGTCAAAACTTTCGATGCACTTGAGAGATTCTACTGATTGATAAGGATCTTATCTTTGATCTGAAGCTCCAACATGCTTGATCCATCCCTCGATGAAAGCACCCCACACAAGGCCAATAATAATAAAGCTGTCTCGTGCGGAGCTCAATCGCCGGCATCGGGTCAAACTGTTGTGTGACATGATCTTGTTTCTCTATCATAAAACTTGCTCACATTGCGACAGTTGTCCCGCAAGTTGTCCGGAGCATATCGATTATTTGCCAACACTGGAATATTGACAGACGATACCACGAGTGGACGTAACTATCCACCATGAGCACAACCATAGCATCGCGGCGTCTTCGAATTGGCATCGACGTTGGTGGGACTAACACAGACGGTGTCCTTATTGACCCCCTCATGTGCTCAGGGCCGGATCGTGGAATCATTGCATGGCACAAAGAACCGACAACGGCGAACCCAAGCGTTGGTATCAACAATGCACTCACTACGATGCTCAGCTCAAGTTCTATCCGCCCTCATGAAGTCGTAAGCGTGACTATAGGAACAACGCACTTTGTTAATGCTGTTGTTGAGAGAGATGCTGCGAGACTGTCACGGGTTGCTGTGATTCGTCTCTGCGGACCCTTCTCGAAGCATAACTTGCCATGTGCCGACTGGCCTGATGACATGAGAGAGCTTATCCTGGGTCACCATGCCCTGGTACATGGCGGACTGGAAGTTGATGGCCGTTTGATATGCGATATTGATCCAGACGAGATCAGAACGCAGTGCTCGATTATTAAACAAAAAGGGATTAAATGTGTGGTTGTTGTTGGCATTTTCAGCCCCTTTGATACAGTGGAGCGACAAGAAGAGCGAGCGGCCGATATCATCAAGGCTGAAATACCCGGCTGTGACGTTGTGTGCTCCAAGGAGGTTGCCAATCTTGGCTTTCTCGAAAGAGAAAACGCAGCTATTCTCAACGCCTCCATTCTGCCTTTTGCCCGAAAGGCCATTCGATCTTTTCACGAACCGGTTAAGAGGCTAGGCCTGAATTGTGCAGTGTTTATCACTCAGAATGATGGCACTGTCCTGTCTGGTGAACTTGCTGCTCGTTTACCGATCCGAACTTTCTCAAGCGGCCCTACCAACAGCATGAGAGGAGCTGCTTTCCTTGTGCATGGCGACCTGGATGAAGCCATGATGGTTGTTGATATTGGAGGAACCACATCTGATGTCGGGATCCTACTAGAGAACGGCTTTCCTCGTCAACAGGCAGCTTACAGCGATCTTTCGGGAGTGAGGATGAACTTTTCTTGTCCCGATATCAAGAGCATCGGTCTCGGCGGAGGCTCTATTGTACGGATAGACAGTAGTGTCTCTGTTGGGCCAGATAGCGTGGGATACAAACTTCCAGAGGAAGCAGTTGTATTTGGAGGAAAGGTTCTTACAGCAACCGATTGCACTGTCCTAGCAAATCCAGAGCTGAAGATTGGCGACCCAGCCCTCATGAAAGACGCTCTTTCGGAGGACCAGCTCACAAAGGTTAGCTTGACAATTAAACAGAAGTTAGAAAAGGTTATCGACACCATGAAGACATCACCCAAAGACATACCAGTTATTCTGGTAGGAGGTGGAGCTGTCATTGCTCCCGATGAGCTCAAGGGCGCGAGCAAGGTTATCAAACCGCAGTGGTCACAGGTCGCCAATGCTATTGGCGCTGCGATAGCAAGGGTGAGTGCGGTTGTGGATACCGTTCAGTCGACGGTATCCAAATCGACAAATGAGTGCCTTGATGAGGTTAGTCGGGCTGCCGTTGAAAAGACTGTTGAGGCTGGAGCTCTAAGATCGACTGTTAAAGTTGTTGAGAAGGAAGGTTTCCCGCTTCAGGTAGGCAACTGATATGCGATGATATGGAGCTTCCTAACGAGGTGACAGTATATCAAAAACAAAACTCGTTTTGTTGTTCGGGCGACTGGAGACTTCGATTTCTCGAAAGAAGTAGTCGCCCCTGAATTCCAGGCAGAGCACGGAGACAATCAAAACATGGGTCGCTATGAGAAGAATACTAAGAACACAGGCTCAAAGCATGATACACAACAAGATGAGGACTTTGATATACTTTCATACCGTCCCGATGTGAGAAACCGAACATGGTATGTTTCTGAAAGGGATGTATCCTGGATCGCAACAGGTTGCTACATTCTTGGCACTGGAGGCGGCGGTAGCCCCTACGGACTGATGATACGACTAAGAACTCAGTTACGCAACGGCTCGATAATCCGAGTTGTCAATCCTGAAGATCTTCCAGACGATGCACGTGTTGGTTGTGGAGGCGGAGCAGGGAGTCCTACCGTTGCGATCGAGAAGCTAGCTGGTGACGAACTACTCGAAGCTCAACAAGAATTGTACAAGATGTGCAATACTTCCGCTACTCACATGATATCTGTTGAAATCGGAGGCGCCAATGGGCTGAGCGGGTTGTTGCTTGGGTCAAGTGATCAGATGGACATCCCTACAGTTGACGGAGACTGGATGGGGAGAGCATATCCCACAAAATGGCAAACAACACCTGTTGTTTTCAAAGAGAGGGACACTATCTGGTCACCTATCGCCGTGAGCGACGGTAACGGCAACGTGCTCGTCATGCCCAAAGCATCCTCCGACGAAGCTGTCGAGCGGATCATTCGCGCTGCCTTGAGCGAGATGGGCTCTCAAGTTGGCGCCGCAGATGCACCTGTCACAGGAGAAGAGACAAAACGCTGGGCTGTCGAACATACGCTATCACAGTCCTGGAGAATAGGTCGTGCCGTAGCTCGGGCGCGGAAAGAGAACCGCGTAGACAACGTCGCTGAAACGATCATCGAAGAGTGTGGCGGCCCAGGAGCGGGAAAGGTTCTGTGGAAGGGCAAAATTATTGGCGTGGATAGAACTTTGAGGAACGGACATATCTATGGCGAGTGTCTCATCGAAGGGGCTGATGTTCGCGATGAACATGTGGCTTCAGGAGATATTTCGGAACAGTTCAAGGGGGTTGTCAAGATTCCCTTTAAGAACGAGAATATCGCTGCCCTGAGAGTCTATACTGATCGGAAAGAGGAGCTTCAAGAGGATGTACTGGCTATCGTGCCTGATTTGGTCTGTGTAATTGATGCACAGAACGGAGAGGCAGTTGGGACGCCCGAATATCGCTATGGGTTACTTGTTGTAGTGTTGGGAATAGCAGCGAGTGACAAATGGACCGGAACTGAGAGAGGAATAAAGATTGGGGGTCCTCAGGCTTTTGGACTTGGCCATCTCAAGTTTGAGCCTCTGGGGAAGTATTTCAAACCGAGGAGTGTCATTGATGAGTTTGATGAGTGTTAATGAGTCACATGGGCTCAACATTGAGCGAGAAGTTTATATGAAGGTGGTTCAGGTAAAAGGATCTTGGCGGTGAATTATACGTAACGAATTTGATGGCTTGTCTCACAATTTTTCGCCGCATAAAACTGTTCTCAAATATATGCTTTTCTGCTCCTAATAATAAACTGGGTTGATATTCGGCCAAGGTGAGACTTGTTCACCTGAGGCCAAATAAGGCTAGCGCGTGGCCCCACACCGCCCACCTCATGACATCCCGCCGCCTTCCATCATAGTTTCTTTCCTTTTCCAAAACACCACCACCAAATTCGATCATATATCATCACCAACTACTTACCTAGGTAGCCAACGTATAACTACCCACTTACAACCGCTTACGCTTTCACACATTCATCATGGGTTCCGTCGTACTTCCCCATCTCAACACCGGCTGGCATGTGGACCAAGCCATTCTCTCAGGTAAATACGATCCCCCAAACCTTCCTGCCTGTCATCTACTAACAACCTCTCAGAGGAAGATCGCCTCGTCGTCATTCGCTTCGGCCGCGATTGGGATCCCGATTGTATGCGCCAGGACGAAGTGCTGTACAAGATCGCCGACAAGGTGCGCAACTTCGCCGTGATTTACCTCTGCGACATCGACCAGGTTCCCGACTTCAACCAGATGTACGAGCTGTATGACCCGTGCTCCCTCATGTTCTTCTTCCGAAACAAGCACATGATGATCGATCTGGGAACCGGTGACAACAACAAGATCAAGTGGGTTCTTGAGGATAAGCAAGAGCTCATTGACATTTTTGAAACGGTGTATCGAGGTGCCAAGAAGGGACGTGGTTTGGTCGTCAGTCCCAAGGATTATTCTACCCGACACAGGTACTAGTCGTGGAAACGGCCACCGGTATTTGGGATTTGGGCGCGGACCGGAGTTGGGCTTGTTTTGAGGTGCTAATACGTTCATGATGGCTGGAGGAAGGTAGGGATATTTGGCTTCCGAGTCAATCGATAATGAGACTACGATACGATACATTTCGTCAAGACCAATATTCTATGGACCAAATGGTGAGATTCCTCAATGCGTATTTGAACCAGTTTGAACCGCTTCTCTGACACAGTCTGTTAAGATATACATGTTTGCCGTGGCAACAGTGCAGCCTGGCTTATGGTCTGGAGAGCATATTGCCAGAGGCAAACCAAGAGGTAAGATTGCTAACCACGCGTAACTGTGCCATTTATCTATGTTGGACTCGTAGACTACTCATCACGCCTGAGTCATGACATCTCGCATTGCCGATATCGTAGAATCGCGAGCCTCCACATTGGAACACTGGGAGAAGCAAGGAACAATCAAATTGATTCGAAGTAATGCGTATGCTAGCAAAGGCTTATAATCCAAACGGCCATGTTTCATGGTACTCTCGAGGTGACTTGGGCTGATGAACCTCCAACGTCCCAACGTGTTTTGACTTGTCAAACCAGATGAAGCCATCGAACTGCTCTGGCAAGACGGCATATGAGTAATGCGAAGCCTTCTCCGTTTCAGGCCTATACAGCACACCAATAAATCTTTCCAGCCTTTTCTCGTTCAGTATTTCTCGTAGCCTCTCATCGCATCTGCCTTTACGGAGGTCCAAGACAAAGTTGTCAATGCCCGCAGCATGCATAAGCTCCTCGTAGCTGCCCGGGAGCCCTTGCTGAAGCTCCATACCGTTCATGTCGCCGTCCCAGTTCTGGGCTGCAGCCACGGTGCCGGTATTTGTGCCTGTACCAATACTAAGAGCTTGGACCCCAAATCTCTCCTTGCAGAGCTGCCCGAGGTTGAGTTCTTCTCTTGACCATCCCATGCTGGTAGCCCGGGCATCACCGACGTGGCTGTTATGTGCCCAGACAATGGCTTTGGAATCACGACCGCGATGTTCCAAAAGTCTCGTGAGAGTTTCGAACATATGGGTGTCTCGAAGATTCCATGTTTCGTCTCGCCCGCGATACATGGCTTTATAGTATTGTTCGGCATCTGGAGATCTTTCAATTTTCTTTCAACGGGTTCTTTTCAGGGGCTAGCTTACCTTTGACAACCCTGGCATTCTGCTCTCCACTATGGAACTCCGTGCCATCGTCAAGTGCTGCAGAGTATTCAATGCGTTTACTTAGGATGTCCTTTAGCATCGCGATCACGTCTTTCTCATACCCCTGAAAAGAAGCTGCCAGAGACTCTAGGCCATATTCGTGAGGATCATCTGCCCAGTGCATCAGTTTACTGTATCGCCCCTTCGCGACTTGTGCCATATCCTTGTCAACAGTATCCAGGTAGTTAACCACTGCCTTCATCGAAGTGCCCATCGAGTAGAGATCCAGGCCGTAAAATCCTGCTGCCTCTTCTTCTTTGAGGTCAGAGTTGTAAGACCGCATCCATTCCACAAAGTCGCGGACTTCAATGTTTCGCCACATCCAAGTGGGAAATCTCAAGAACGCTGGATCTCTTCCCTTCCTCTTTGCCATCTGAGTCGTCTCTACTGTGGCTTGACCAGGGCCTGGGCGGTGCCTGACATATCGATCAACAGACTCGGCATCAGGCCAGTCTGCTTCAATAGCAACGATATTGAAACCGTGGTTTTGTATCATATACTTTGTAATTTCTGCCCGAACCGAGTAAAACTCAGACGTGCCATGTGACGCATCGCCTATAAGCAATACTTTGCAATCCCCAAAGCTGTCGAAGTACTTCGTGATTGTCTCGACGTCTTGGGCGATTGATTTGAATGGTTTAACATTGGATTTGAGTTGTTCTGCGCTTGATACTTCCATTTCTGACTCAGGTTGAGATTGGAGAGTATGCTCGATGACTCGTTATAGTGATTTCGACCTGAAAGAGTCCATGAAGAAGTGGTCATCCTTTTAAGCTCGAGTTCGCTTGGGCATTTCGCACTAATGGGCCAGCTGATAGTGGCGACACAGATTCTCAATACAGAATTACCCGGAAGTTAGTTCCGTGTGACCACACTATGTAATTATACAATTGGAGTAAATGAAAGAGCTGCCAGTCTGATCAAAGTACTGAAAGTGGAACGAGACGGTGATCTACAGCTATGTAACGCTGTTAGTGCGGAGGTGGCGGCGATAACTTCATCATGACGGCTTTTGAGTGCTGTAAGCCTATGACGAATCATGATTCAGTGTCCTAACAAGTTGTCAGCCAGGTAATTCTCAGACAGCACGCTTACCGCACAGCTAAGGGAGTTCAGGAATGTCAAAATGTTGTAGACGGTTCAGCTTCATATGGCTGTTTGGCTAACATATGAGGATTCTCTTGCTCACGCCCCTCAATTGCCAAAAATCATCATCGTATTGACATCAGCGTCCATTTCTCAACTTGTGGTATACAAGCAGTTTATCCTGTCTTTTGTATGTCAATATTTATTGAAGCACACGGATCAGGTCGCAGCTCAGTATTGTCTGCCCTGAGCTCGTTGTCCTGCTTCCCGGCTCTTGAGCCATGGAACACGGTATTCGCATCCGATCGCTGACGGCACTTATGTTTGGCGTTCTCTCGCTATGTTGGCCGTTATATCTGGCGGCACGTATTGTGTCTTCGTCTTTGCTATTGGTGGCTGGGAGGATTGGTATACGGAATGTATAAAGATAGGGGCTAGAGACAAGGGAGTCAGAATCTCAATTGCAAGCTGAGTAGGTTGTTAATGAGACAATATCGCAAGGATAATACACAGAGTCTTAGCATAAACATGCTTTATAGACCTTGCTTGTTGGCCATTGTTCCATGTGCCCATCCACGACTAGCTGCCAGGGCCCGTAAAGAGACTTACATTACGGCTCTCCGGCTTCACGTCATCGACTTTGGGTCAGTTTTCCGTCGTAGCGCCCCAGTTGAACTATGGATCAGAGATGCTCGTCATGAGTTATTGGAAAGATTGAGTGGGGAGAAGTGGTGTATCTGGTGAACGCAGACCCTGGACATGAGGATGGAAGGACCGCCGAAGGAGAGACTGCCAAGTGAGCTAATGGTAGCTGAAAAGAACAGATTGTCATTAATATCAGCCTAAAATCTACCATCAAGAGCCAGGAAACTGCAGCGTGGCATTGTGGCTCGTTCCACGTAAAGGTGCGCGCTTCGTATTGTGTAAGTGTAGGACAGTAACGAAGTCCAGGGCTTGTCTCCTATGTGACGATCAAAAACTCTATAATGAACTAAGACATATGGCTAGCCTTGGTCATCATCAGCGATGAGCCTCAGGGGCCTTGAGTTCTCTTCTTTCGGTTCGGGTTGACATCCTGGAATACTCGGCGATGGGTCGATGATTGTGGACGTTGAGTATCAGAGTTAAGACTGATTTCCTGGTAGCAAAGATACAGGGTCGCTTTATGTGACTTAACCGTATCTTATGCTAGTCGCTTTTCTTTGGCGGATGTGAAAGGAGGAGCGTTTGCTTCGACGATGGCTGGTGTTTCAAGATCGCGAGAGTCAATGTTGTTGACTTTTAGGGCACACGCAGAAGAAGCTACTGAAATACCCTGAGTTATAGAAGTTGGTGAAAGTCCTTTGGATCATGTTCCAGGTCGAGGTAAGATCCTCTTCTGATCCGAAAACAAGTTAGTCAAGGGGTCACAAAGTTGAGGCGACCATTGCCCGAGGTTCCCGTCCCTCTTGGGTGAAACATACCTGGTTTTTCGATCGAATAAACGATAGCATCGTAGGTTGGAAAGGCAACTGAGAGTCGTATGTGCGAATATCCACACTAGTTCTTGCAGAGGAGACGCGTGTTTCGGGGGTCCATCTTCCTAGACCTAGGCCAGTGCGAGTTATCTCATGCGTCTGCTGTATCTTGAAGATCAAAAGGGGTGTCATAGGTATGATGCCCTGACGGAGGAAGCTCCTTATCATGGTTACCGACCCGTGCAGAGTCCTGCAGCAGAGAAAGAAAAGAAGGTCGAATACTAGGTAGTCATTGCATAATGAAATTTTGACCGCATCGATAGTGTAAAGCCAGTGACGAGGCAAGAATGAGACAATAAAGAAACCTTGAAACTTAGGAGTTCTAGATCAGTGCAAACATACTTGAAGCCAGCATTTTGGTATAAATACGGAGGTGCAGCTCTTTGCAGGACTAGCTTCTTCGGGCGCTGGTGGGCGAACATAGGAACAAGAAAAATGTTGCCGACGCCTGGGCCAAGGAGCCCGGCACTGAGACTGATGAATTTGCTCCCACCGAGATAAGGTAGAGTAGCATCTCTAGACTGAGCAACTGTTCATTTGTGATACAGACCTGAATAAATGTTTAAATCGAGTACTGTTCCCCTCTCAGGGGTATAACAGCCAGCCACAGGAACAAAGCCATCACCAATGATGGGATATGTTCTTGAATGTTCCTGTACTTGCATGAACACGAGAGCCACCTCAAGGACTCGGCCGAGTCGACAACTACCGTCATCCCTGTCAAGCTCGACACTACTACAGGGCCCCCCCATGTTCAAGATCTGCCCTAGGACAAAGAACGGCATAGTCAGTTCGGGGCAGGGTGGACCTGTCAACTTTAATTGTTCTTATGTTCACTACCTATTGACGACGTTCGAGAGGGCAGTACGTATTGGGGCTTGCGCTGCAAATACGTTTAGGGGACCTGACATCGCTACTGGCTGTTGGTTTTGTATGGCAGATTTGCTGCGCTCGTGGTGCCCGATCCTTGCCCTCCACTTTTTCACCTGCCATCATCTTCACCCTCGTCCAGGCACTTGGGAACAACATCGTTTGTCTCGCTGATCATGTCTCGACCCTGGCCATTAGTTTGCGCTTCTCTCAGCTTTTTGAGGTCTCGATTTTGTCTCCCTCCTTTCCTCTTCCTTGACAAAGATGATCGACCATTCCCACCCAAGGTCCAGTGGCCACTGTTTACTCTTCGACTGATCCATCTCATTATTGTTATGCTATATGAAATGAAGTCACTTGTCTTCACAGCAGTATGTTCTTACACGGGTCTAGGAGCTCCATTCGTACCACAAGACGGACGACTCACAGCCTTGCTGCACACCTAACAGCTTGGTAGAACCCCAGATGGTGAGCTGGTCTTACCTTCGAGATCGTGGATCTTGTGAGGCTTCACTGGCTTCATCAGCTAACATTACGTATTTGCAGATTCATGCCGACCATCATCACACCAATCTCAGCCTCCTCTGGAACGACTCTCCTCTTGTTACCGCTTCCAGCACTACATCTGTGCCAGGAACGCTGGGAAAATCTCACTTGACGCTGCTCCACTACTCGTACGTAGTCCATGGCTCAGAAACAAGACCGCCCCTGTCCATTCGTCGCATTTACGTCCCGGAACCCTGGAGCTATCGCTATTCCAGTTCTAGTTGTATCCCTCAACACGTTTTTAATGTACCACTGGCTTTTCCCGTCGTGCAGTTATCATGGAGAAGTGTAAATGGTCATTTCACACAGGTCAGGGGTTCGCGCCTTTGCCTTCTTGAGCTTATTACAGTGGCGTGCTACATTTGTGTTTTAACAGCTTCAACAAACGTTCTCCGTCTGTAACCTTTTCGATTATGAGCGAAATGGTTCTTTAGAAGGCATGGCATCGATGCCGGAATACTCGAATAAGATGAGCAAGGAGCTTTTCCGACTGTGGGCACACGATAGCATTACAAATGCAGAATACAATGACGTGACAACCTGGCAGATACAGCATGATGTTTTGACTGTTAAATAGGACATACTTGGGAACTGTTAATTGATGAAACATTCCAGTAATGTCTGGATGCCACTTCTTGATCGAGCGAGGACAACTCAAAATCCCCCGGCCCTGGTTCATTTTACGATTCGGAAGAGCAACGTTCAGAATCTGCTATACGATAGCTTTTAAACTGTAGACAATCATTGTTTACAGTGTCTTCAGGGCACTGGCTGTTGCTAAGCTAACCCCCACTCGCCAGTGATGGGGTTTCAGACGATTCTAGATAGATGCGTCACTGCCGATTTTCTCCACGATGCGGCATACACAAATGCGCAAAATAACATCGGAGTTTGACATATGTCCGTTAAACCTGTCTTGGTAGCCGATAAGTCTGGAACGCAGATTTGGTGAAATAACCGGGCGGGCTGGGCAGCACTCGAGCACTACGAAGGTGGGAACTAGGTCACCATGTTCCGCATGCCGCTGCTATAAGCCGATTATCACTTGTGCAGGATGGCCATATGCAATGGCTTCTACTATGTAATCCAATGGAATAGTCTCGGCAGTGATCATACAACAGGTCAAGGGCATAAGGAGTGCTGGGGAGTAATCATAATTCTTTTAGGGCGGTTGGCCTCTAGGCTAGTGCTACTGATCGAAACCAGGATGGATCTTCTAGAGGAGCTGAGGTGGTATAATATGTTTTGGGTGCTGCAGTAGTAGCCTAATTCTGCTGCGGTAGGATGAATATCTTCGTCTCCCACCCTCCGCTCTTCTTTTCTCCTCCACCACCAAAACATCGAGAACGCCAGCATAGGCGAATGACCACCGCCTCAACTCTATACTTGATTTCCCTGGGGTATTAAGTTCTTTGTACGTTCTCAATTAATTCCACTCATCACATTTGCGTACTTTTATTTGATTTTCCCATATACATAAACACCCGCCGCTGAGGACATCTCAGTTTCTCCCTGCTCCCGCTTCACTCATCAACCCGTTCCCTTTAATATTTCATCCTAACGACCCCTATAAGCTGAACTTCCACCGCAAGATCCACGATGTCGGCCCCTTTGGTCTGTCGCCCTAATCCCTCCCAAGGCTTGGTCAATACTCCGGCAGTTAAGACGTTCAGAATCGGAGAACTCCTGCTACTGATCGTCGAGGAGCTTGGAGAACGGACCGAGCAAAAGCCTGGGTACCAGAATCTGGGGAGCCTTGGAAACTTAATCCTTACGAACAAATCCCTCTTCATCTCACTTCAGGCTTACCTCTACACTCAAGACCTGGAGGATGACTGCCACCAAGGCCTCCAACATGCTGTTTTCAACTGCTCTGATCAAGTGGGCTACCGCATCATCACCAAGTACCCAACCGAGCTTCTACGTTCCAATATCAACAAAGTATACAAACGCAATACTACGAATACCAGAGCAACCTTTACTCTGCTTCATATCGCAGCAGCTCGGCAGCAGCACCGTGTGATCCGAAAGCTGGGACGCTTGGGTGCCAAGTATCTCGATGTCAAGAATCTGCATATTGTCCTGCCACAAGAATTCAGAGATCGGCTAGAACAAGAGACGGCACTTTTCAACCACCTCCCCCGACTGCGGTGGAAACCTGCACTGGCACCTCTTGTACTGCATCAGGTTGAAACCTTCGATCTCCTGGACGAGTACTGGAAGGCAGCTTACGTCGGAACCTTCAACTTTCGCGCGATTGCTGTTGCTTTTGCAGTTGAAGGCGTGGCAACTCCGGAGCCTCCCTTTTGGCCGATGACCGTTCATCACTTGGCGGCAACTTTGACAGATCACAACTACTCTGTCCAGCTTCTGAGACACGCTGTGGAGTTGCACCCTTCACATAATGAAGCCCCCGGAGGACTGGAGAGGTACTCGGTTCTACATTTTGCCATCCAGGCTTACAACTTCAGGGCCCTAAGATACCTCCTGGAGTCTGGCGTCGGGCTTGGGCGATATATGGTCGATGCCCTTGGTAACAACCCACTCCACTGTGTGTTTCGGCTTGCCTTGGAATCGGCGAACAAAGCGTCATCGAGATTAGCCTGTAGAAAAATGGTCGACGATCTTATGGACAACCACGGGTTTCACCACCGCATGGTCCGAACTTGCTACCCATACGAGTCACCAATCCTGATTGTTGCTCAATCTGCTCGTATAGATTGGAGCGGCAGGCATCACATGATCAAGTACCTACTTGGAAAATGCCTGAAAAGCGAACTGGATATGAGGTTTCACCGGAACTATAACCCTGCACTTCACCGAAGCATTCTCAACGTCCCTGACGCATGTGGAAATACTGCACTGGCATTCATTGCCCAAGCCATCGTAGTACACAGAGGTAACGAGGGCCTCGAAGCCGTGTTCAGAAATATGATCCGGCACGGAGCTCAAATCAACCTGGACATCAACCCCCGATATAGACCCCGCAGGTACGCCCACTCAATCAAGTACATTGTCCAATTCGCCGAGGGATGCACCAGGTTCAAGAAGCTGGTCGACAGACTCGGTGGCCGTCTTCACCAGGCTGAAGTTGATGATACTGCTATTGGGTACGATGGCATCGAACATCGAGATCATGAGCCACACGTACGCTCGCTTCCTCCACAGCATCTCTTTGCCCAAGAGCACCCCTAAAATCAGTATCCGATACTGATCAATTCGCGAAACCAGAGCGGGAGGCCGAAGCTTGGTAGATTGCTTCCTGGTGGAGAATTGGTGCTTAAGGCTGATAACCTTCGGAAACCTCCCGCGAGACATTTGAGAAACCATACCTCGATTTTTACCGAAGAGAAACTCTGTACACTGCATTTGATTTCATCAATTTTTTGGGCGCAAGATATCAGCATACAAGGCATATTAGAGATACCTGAGACGGCTGTCATCAGACAAAACGGGCATGAGGCCGAGAAGGAATTAGCAAGTCCGGTGCAGCATTCCCACACGATATCGCAATGCAAAGGGTTGGTTGTATGAGAATTGTAATCGGGGGACATGTACAATAATTGCTCGCTAGAGAAGAAAATAGAAGAAAACCCACCAATGATTGCTTGTTTCTGGCTGTGAGAGAGCCCAAGTGATATTGTAGATGACCTTGACCCATCTAGCCAACCTCTTTACGTCTTGGATGAAAGCTAGACCATGGGGATAGATAAGTAGGTGACCAACAAGTGCATATTTCGAGCACCACGATATCGGACTTCCTAATCAAGCACCAGCATGAAAGATCTACACATCTTATTTGAGTCTAGTCGAAGCAGTACACAAGTCATGAGACACATTGCCTAGAACAGCAAGTCCTCTAAAGATAACAGCCTCGGAATGAAGATCAAGGTCTGGGTGAGGAAGATGTAGATGCACTTTTTTGCCTGTGTTGTACATATTGCTACGGCTGGCTTCTTCACCTCCTCTTCTTCCTCTCTCTCCCTCTCCCCCCTTGCATTCTATTTCAGTATAAGCAACATTTGACACCACAAACACCACAAACACCACAAACAAAACCCCACGAAGACCTATCTACAGAGTAAATAAGACCCTTGTCAAATCTCGGACGCACACTTCCCCAAAAGGCAGGTTGCCCATCTTCCGATCCCCACACTCTTATTCTCCATCCAGAAACACCCCATGTCGATCACCGGCACTACCTTATCAGCGTGGCGGCGTCTCAGCCTTTGACTGGACCCTGCACTTTATAACCCGGCACTGAATAGACGCTCGATATCCCGATAGTCATCTGCTCGCCTATCACGATGCCTCGTGCCTGAGAGATCTACGGACTTGAAACCCATATACGTGCGTCGGTGAGGATGTCTGGACAGAGGACAGCTTATTGTGCGCCGGATGTATGTCCAATAAGGAAGGAGCATGAATTCTGTGGTTTTATGTAGATGCTTGGTCTTAGATGGAGATGGTGATGTGATTAGAGGGATGCCGAGATGGTATCTTGGCTTGAGTGATATAAAGACACTTGTGTAGCGTCCAAAGTATGCAGTACTCTTCACCTTTCTCTTCATCCCTCTCGAAGTCTCCTGTCCTCAATTTGGCATCTCAAGATGAAGTTCTCTATCGCGCTTCTCGTTCCTGTTGCTGGCGTCCTCGCCGCACCTACACCTGTATGGCACTCTTGGCCACACTTATCATGATACCATCTCTGACATATCTAGCCCGGAATTCCCAGTGACTCTACTGCTCGTTCACTTCTGAGCGGTCTCACCGTTGCCGCTTCCACCAACACAGGCACCTATGACAGAGACCTCTTCCCTCACTGGGAGACCTATGAGGGTGCTTGCAACACTCGGTGATTACACCCATATCAGGAGACATGCGTCTAGATACTAATAAGCCTGTTAGTGAGTACGTCTTGAAGAGAGATGGAACAAACGTCGTCACCAACTCGGCCTGTGCTGCTACTTCCGGCACTTGGAAGTCTCCCTATGACGGAGCCACCTGGACACAGGCCAGCGACATCGACATTGACCACATGGTTCCTCTGAAGAACGCTTGGATCGTAAGTCCCCTCTTCAACATCTGACCTTTCACGTCTGGGGAGACACTAGCTGACACATCTTAGTCTGGAGCTGCTTCGTGGACTACCGCCAAGCGTACTCAGTTCGCCAATGATGTTACACGACCCCAGCTGTGGGCAGGCAAGTTAACCCAATGCTTTGCGTATCAAGAACAATAAGCTAACATCATCATGAAGTTACCGACAATGTCAACCAGGCAAAGAGCGACAAGTCCCCTGATTCTTGGAAGCCTCCTCTGACCAGCTTCTACTGCACCTACGCCAAGAGCTGGATCCAGGTCAAGAGCTACTGGCAGTTGACTATTACCAGCGCCGAGAAGACCGCTCTCGGTTCCATGCTTGACTACTGTTAAGTCAAGATGGCTTCGAAAGTGGTTCATCGGGAGTATTATACATATTGAATCAGGTGCCTTCAAAAGCTCATTGACTGGCAACGTTAAATATACCACGAGCCGCGATATTCTGCAGCTTCAAATCTTACAATAAAAGTCTCGAGATCAAGTTGAAAAGGGCTTCACGTGAACTATGCAAAGATACTGTCAAAAACATTCAATCTTCATATTCAGTGATATATTCATATATCGTCCCAATATCATTACAAAGAAGAGTATTAATTTTATACGCATCCAAATACCAAGGCATTCATAACGCCCTGTCTTCTCCACCATCAGTACAACGCTCTCTCTTTTGTATACACCGTAGAATTATTCGTGAAACGCAACACCTGGGGGGTATCAGGGCTGTTTGATTGCCCGTGAGCGAGAAACAAAAAAGTAGCAAAATGAAAATGTCAACGCCAACTCCAAATATGCAGCAAACGTCAAAAACTGATGCGTCTGTATGTATGTATGCTTGTTCGTACATAGACCGTTTCAAGGTCTCAATGTTACATCTCCTTCATCGTCGCTGCTGACGTCCATGTCACCTTCACTGAGTTCACCTCGCGCAGCTCTTTGCGCCAAGTCCCTCTCGTGGTAGATTTCTTGCTTCCTCGAATCAGCTTGTCTAAGACAGTCGACGTATGTCGTGAACTTGACAATTTCGCGTAGTAGGTACGCGCTCTTGCGCTCCCAGTTAGCCATGGCCTTCACAGCGTTGCTACCTCTAGGGGTAAAAGCCAGAAGCATGGGGCTGCGGAGTCGGTTATGTGTCTGTAGTTCTGCCTCGATCCCTTTGACATAGGTGTCCAGAGTCTGGAGCTGCTCCGCTTCAGGCTGATTGCTGGGCCGCATGCTCTGGGTGGGTGGTGCCCATTCGGCAATGTGAATCCGATCGCCTGGTAGCTTACCACGTCCACTGTTGTTGGTGAAAGCACCCGCAACGTGATCAAAGCTTGATCCTCGGAAGCTACCACTGTTAACACTTGACCTCCGGCCATGTGCTGCGCTGCTTCCGGGGCGCGATGTCTTGCCAGTCGTAGTCTCGTTGATGGCTGATACCAAAGCGTTGTTGACAATGGCCTCACTCCATCCATACTCGATGTTACTTATACCACCAGTCAATGGATGGGTACTCAAACGAGCGCTCCAGTAGTTGGCTGTAGTAACGAATTCCTTGCAAATCTCGGGTGTGCCGACTTGGAATAGGTGAACAGCGCCGTTAGGAAGGCTCAGCGCCCATACATGTGGGCGGGCCCGAGAGTAACCTGGCGGTGGAAGCGCAGATGCAAGAGTCTGTCGTAGGTTATAGCAGCCCAGATTCGTTGCGTTATCTTGCCAATTGCCACCGCCGACAATAGCAGGGGCACCGCCAGCGTTTCTGCCGCGGTTTCTCGAACGGACAGATTTGTTAGGCTGGAATGAGAACAGATTCAGCTGTCCCTTTTGAATGACAGCAAAGACTTCGGACCAATTTCTGGCCTTGGCCTTCTTATCCACGCCATCCAGGTGGTGCTTGTGAGTGACCATTCCTTCCTTGACCCATGGGGGTCCAGCAAGTTCAAGAGACTCGTCTTCAAGGAGTTGAGTTGCCGGAATCTCAGAACTCATGATGGATGGGGCACCGTCCCCGTACATTTCTTCATCTCGAATGATGGCTTGACTCAGTGCATTTGCAAAACCGATCGATTGCTGATAGTCACCTCGAGGGAGGTGAGAGCCAAAGGAGTCTTGTGAAACAGATGTTTGGGTCCTTCCAAGAGAGTGGCGGCTCCATGTGGCAGAGGACGGTGTAGGACTCCACAGTGAATTGCCATCGTCGAAACTTGTACGGCTCGAAGAAAAGCCGTTGCGGCTCATGCCAGCGCGAGATCGACTCTTGGATGTCCACCTTGCTGTATTGGCTCGACCGTTCTCGTTGATTCGGCCGCGAACAGATAGCTGGCTCTCCGAGGGAGCCTTACTAAGGACACTAGGAGTTCTCTTTAGCATCCCCATTACAGAAAGTCCTCCACTGTGGGAAGGCTGTAGGCTGGCGTTCTTCTCAGATTCAGCGCCAAACAAGGGCAGCCTTTCATCTCTGATAGAGGTATAGATTCCCTTTAGGACAGTCTCTATCTGTTCCTCCCAGGCCTTTCTCGTGCCATTAAAACGGGACTTGACCAAGGGGCCGCAGTCTTCAATACCCTCACCAGGTAGAGTACCCGAGTCCGCACGAGCCGGGGGTCTGAAGGAGTTTCTGAAAGAACGTCGGTCCTGCTCAGAAGGCGGGTCCTGGTTCTCACCAGCCGCAAGGCCATTCTTGTCTGGAAGAATGCTTGGGCGGTGGAAAGCATCAGGGGCGGATTCATCGACAGCCTGCAAGATGGTCGTCATGGTGTTCTTGATAAACTGACTGCGGGTCATTTTCGACTCAATATCAGCCAAGTGCAGGTCAGTATTGAGCAACATAATTGAGTAGCAAATGGTGTGAATCACATCTATCACAGTTAGTTTAGAAAATCATCGGGCAGCTCATGTGCTTACCAGTTGCCTTGAACCCATGGTTAGGATTGCAGTCACACCATCTTTTAGAAAAGGCCACCAGGATGCGATCAACTTGCTGAGTCTCGGCCCGAAAAACCAATCGTCCGCAAACTTGTCTCAGTGCTTGAACAATGCTCTGATTAGTAAAGTCGTACAGCTCCATGTAAGCTTGAAGTGTACGTTGTCTGATCGGGCCCTCTTCACCCATCCACGAGGCAGCCTTCTCCTTCTGGATGAAGTCCTCATTACCATCGTAGATCTTTTGTGCCTTCTGACGATCATCTTCGGTCGGGTCCCCGATGACAAACTCAGGCTCATCAATACCCTTGTTTTTAATCGAATCGAAAGTGCCAAGTACTTTGGGACTAGGGTCTGCCGAGCTTTCGATCCTCACGCTAGGAGGAGCACTGAGAGCAGACTTATAATCTGTACCAGTTGAAGCTGATCCTGGACTAGAGGCTCGAGCTCCTTCGATCGGCAGTGCCAGGTTGGAGCGGTCTGGCTCATCCTCGGAATCGGACTGCTGTGGGCGATGGGAAGGCTTCCTGGACCCAACATGGTCTTTGCCGGGTCGAGGAATGGCTCTTGCTGGAGTGTTATCGGGCTGCTTGGACTTAGTTTGGGATACGCTAGCAGGCTTTCGGTTCGAAAATCCACGTTCATCCTCATTATCACTAGCCCCATCAA